CTACTCTACTCTACTCTACTCTACTCTACTCTACTCTACTCTACTCTTAATAGATTCCATTCCATTCCATTCCATTCCATTCCATTCCATTCCATTCCATTCCATTCCATTCCATTCCATTCTATTCTATTCTATTCTATTCTATTCTATTCTATTCTATTCTATTCTTGGATAGAAGTCTGGGGTTTTATTTCCTGGCCGTCCTGACCTTCTCTTTTCCTCCTCTGGCCCTAGGCTGTATTGCTTCAAGATTTATGGCTTGTCCTCCCTGTGGCGCTTGTTCCGAGGGAAGAAATGGAACGTCTTGAGGCAACGGGTAGATTCCTGCTCCTACGACCTAGACCAGGTAAAGGCTCTCTGGGGGGCACCTGCAGAGCAGTAGCCGTGGTGGATGGTCATGGTACGATCACCAACACCCTTCCAGGTGCATTTGGTTTTTATTCCCAGCATATACGAATCTGTTGATGTATCCTGGGGAGAAAATAGCCACAATTACGATCTCTGTTCAGGTGGTCCTCAACTTATAACAGTTCGTTTAGCGATCGCTCAAAGTTATGAAAAAAAAGCGACTTACGACCATGTTTCACACTTACAACTGTTGCAGTATCCTCGGGGTCACGTGGTCCAAATTTGGACACTTGGCAACGGGTTCGTATTTGTGACATTTGCAGTCTCCTGGGGGGTCACGCGATCCCCTTTGCCGAACTTCGGGTGAGCAAAGTCAACAGGGAAGCCAGAATCTGGCAACAACTCTGCTTACTAATTGCACAACTGCAGCGAGTCACTTGATCAACTTTTACAAGAAAGGTCGTACAACGGGGCAAAGCTCAGTTAACAAATGCATCTCTTAGCAACAGAAATTTGGAGGGCTCAATTGTGGTTGTAAGTCGAGGTCCACCTGTATGATCTCCGTGCGCGATAGGGAACCATCAAACATCTTAAGCATTGTGAATGTCAGGAATAGCAATAGCACTTAGACTTATATAACTTGTAGACTTATATACTTTTATACTTCACGGTGCTTTTACAGTTTATAGAGTCAGCCTATTTTCCCTCAACAATTTGGGTCCTCATTTTACCCACCTCAGAAAGAGGGAAGGCTGAGTCAAAGCCTTCAGCCTGGTGAGAATCGAACTGCTGGCAGTGGGCAGAATTAGCCTGCAATACTGCATTTTAACCACTGCGCCACCAGGAAGGAGAATAGGAAAGGGAAGGAAGGAAGGAAGGAAGGAAGGAAGGAAGGAAGGAAGGAAGGAAGGAAGGAAGGAAGGAAGGAAGGAAGGAAGGAAGGAAAATAGCAATAGCACTTAGACTTCTGTACTGCTTCACAGTGCTTCACAGCCCTCTCTAAGCAGTTTACAGAGTCAACCTCTTTGCCCCCAACAATCTGGTGTCCTCATTTGACCCACCTCGGAAGGAGGGAAGGCTGAGTCAACCTTGAGCCGGTTAGAATTGAACTGCTGAATGCGCCAATTCATGCCCACTCTTTGCCCAATGCAGCCTGTTTATTACTGAGCCCTGAACGTCACCGTTTCTCTCCTGGCCCATTTTCAGACAATTATAGCGGAAGGGGGCTTAGTCTTAAGAGACCCCTTGCCGCAGGTGCTCCGTTCTACATAAGTCACAGCCCGGGTGTGATAATGGGTTGGCGGTAGGGAAGGAAGCAATTTGAATCAAAGACACCAAATAATTACAGCCATAGCCCACAGCGTTGCCATAGTTACCTGCTGATTTGTGTTTCTATTAAAAGTTCATGGGCTTTTGGAAGGGAGCTGGGCCCACACGTTTCCAACAGGCTGGTGAGGAGGGTAGAATTTATTTGCAACAAAATCTTTGTTGTGGTCCGCCAGCGGCCAGCAGAACTGGTGGCAGATTCAGACAGTGAGGAGGTTGGGGAGGAACCTGGGCCAGTCCTGGAATCTGGGGAAGGCTCTGACGGGGGCTCTGCATCGGAGGCAGAGATGGGGCCAGGGCTGTCCGACAGTTATCAGCTGCCTTCAGAGTCGGAAATCAGTGGGGCAGAAGAATAGCTGGAGCCTGTTCCCAATGTGTGCATGCACAGAGCTGCCAGGAGAAGGGAACAGTTAAGGAACAAGGGTCGACTCGGGAGTAAAGCCACAGGTGGACGGTGAATGGCCTCTCCCATAGGGAATAAAGATGAGCAAAATGTTTGCAGGAGACAATTAGTTCCTTTAATGAGTGTGAAGATTTCTTTATGACTCTCAGCGTCTCCTTGCCAAGTATTTCCTTGTACAGCGTTGCGCTTGGACGCTATCGGCCTGGCAACTCTCCAAGCCTGATAAATCTGTGGTTGCAATTCCTTCTTGAAAGACGGTTTGCCGGGACTTTGCTGGATGTGAATGAGAGGAATTCACATTAGCCTAATAAAAAGGGGTTTTGTCGGGATGAGGGTTCTGCTTGGTGATTTTTTGTGAAGCCGAGGTCTGAACAATCTTTGCTTTTTCCACCCCGTGTTAAGATGTCAAGGCAAACTTGCCTGCTCAGTCGCAGGGCTCCTGACACCGTTAAGTTTCCTGAAAGAAAAGGAGTGAAAGCAAAGTCTTGGAAAGATCTCAGGGATCTGTTCTTCTGGCCTCCCTATCGATAAGAGATCATGAGAAGAGCAGGTGGGCGGATGGGATCTGGCCTCCCCTTGCTTTCCTCCCCCATTGCTGCAAACTCTTGCAAGGGGTTTCCGATGGCTCTGCTCTGAGAAATATTCCCCTGACTAAGTGGGGTGGTGTCGCCACAATACTACTATCAAGGAAGCTCGGCTCTTTAACTTGTTGTTAAATCTAGATCATATTAAAACATATCCAGGTCAAAATTAAGATTAATTAAGAAATATTAAATGGTTTTTTTTCAATGTACTCGGATGGGAGCAGCTTTCTATCACCACCGTTCCTAAAATTACTATTTCCTGACAATCTCTGATTGTTTTACTTGTCTTTTCTTCTCCAGCTATTCATTGGTACTTTGCTGTTCACCATCTTGCTGTTTCTGCTGCCCACAACTGCACTGTATTACTTGGTTTTCACCTCGGTGAGTCTGCCTTTCCTGGAATTAATGCACGATTGAGAGGGTTTGCGTTCAAAGCAACGTAAACAGTTGGAAGGATTGTTAAAAGCCAGATAATATCGACGAAGTTAAATAGCCAGTGCAGATGATTGACGGAGGCGGGCAGGCCTTGAATTCAAAGCCAAAATCATGCTTCATTTGCCATGTGTCTGCATCTCCTTTTAGAAATTGCCTCTTTTTCTAGGCTTGTGTGACTCGCCTCTGCACCCCAGAAAAAAATGGATTTGATTTAAAGACTTGGAGACACATGATTTATGTCCATCATGTGCCCACAAAAGAACCTTTTCTGTTTTTTCCAAATTGTTGCACGATGTTATTAGACATCCCCTTGTTTCAAATCTAGTATGCCCAGTAGTGTTGAAGTTGTTTGGCTGCAAACAGATTCCACTCCCTAACTCACTCAGCTTTCCCAAAAGCATCTATGTGGATGACAGGAGGCAAAATTTAAGGGTGCAAGAGAAAACTCTGGTTAATAGGTAGTGACCTAGATTGGCAGTACAGAAGTAGGGCTGAAGAATCTGATCTCCCTTGTATTACTTGGACAATCCTGAATACGTTGAGGGCTGGAGTGCCTAAATGTAAAACCAATATGCTTGGTTTTACATTTACATTTTACATTTACACCAATATGCTAAGGTTGCAGGAACTGGGCATGGCTAGTCTAGGGAAGAGAAGGACCAGGGGAAACATGAGAGCAGTCTTCTAGCATCTGAGGGGCTGCCACAGAGAGGAGGAAGGGGTCAAGCTATTTTTCCAAAGCACCTGAAAGTCAGACAAAGAACAATGGATGGAAACTGAACAAGGAGAGATTCGACCTAGAAATGAGGAGGAATTTTCTGACAATAAGAATGATCAACCCATGGGACAAATTGCCTTCAGAGGTTGTGGGAGCTTCATCACTGAAGATCTACAAGGTCTCTTCCAACTCTGTTAATCTTAATCTTCAAGGGGCAGCTCTTAGTGGATAGCAACACACTGTATGAATGTGGAGAGACGCAGAGCTTGTCTCGTCTGCTGGTATGTCGGCTACTACTAGAAACATGTACCAATAATGACTTATTTTTGGCCAACGGCAAAGCCAAGAAGATAGCTTCATTCTGGCAGTTTAACATTTGATCTAGGCACAGAAGAAGAAGTACAGAACAGATGGAAACATTTATGCTATTGCTTGGATGTAGAACCTGCCAGGTGTTGGCCAACGAATGCTACCACCAAGCTCTAACAGAAATAAATCTTTCCTCTTAGCTTCGTCTCCTGGTGGTCCTTTTACAAGGCCTAATCCATCTGCTGGTGGACCTCATCAACTCACTGCCCCTGTATGCCATCGTCCTTCGACTCTGCCGAGGCTACAGACTTGCCTGTAAGCGATATAAATCCATATTGTTGCAGTAACGAGTAAACTGTGGAGGTTGAACATTTTTCACCAGAGTCCCATTTATGTTGGTCGTACGCACTTAAAATCAGGAACCCGTGGCACACAAATAGATCAATTGGGCAGAGAATGAAGTTGCTACCGGCTGACAGGTTAAGTCCTGTAAATTCCAACTCGCTATGGGTAGTCCTCAACTTACGACCACAATCGAGCCCAACATTTCTGTGGCTAAGCAAGACAGTTGAGTTTTTCCTCCTATTACGACCTTTCATGCCACAGTTGGCCATAGAAATTTGAGGCCCGATTGCAGTGGTAATGGGACTGCCTATAAGTTGACTTTCACCTGATGATAAGGTAGCACATAATCAACATTTGGAACATAAACTTATACCAACAAACCTGGTTGTGTTTAAACTTCCTGTGGGAAAGCAAGATTTTTTATCTCCATGTTGTTCTCTGTTTTTAACCCCCAGATTTGGCCTTTTACAAAATTCCTCCAGCTCATTGTAGTGGTCAGTCAATGAAGCCTGTTCTTTCCTACACCTGCTTGTATTTTGTGTGTTTTCAGCTGGTGTCAAATTCAGAGTCCTGGAGCAGGAAACTGAAATACCTCTTCGACTTCTGATGCAGGTAAATCCTCGTCCTTTTTCTTTGGTTTCTTTGGGGAAGGTGCTCATATTGCAACTCTCTCCACACATCCACACATACTCGTGCTTCATCTACTATTGCTAATATCCTAGTCATGTGAGCCCTGGTGGCGTAGTGGTTAAAATGCAGTATTGCAGGCTAACTCTGCTCACTGTCATCAGTTCGATCCTCACCGACTCGAGGTTGACTCAACAAGACTTCCATCTTCCAAGGTCAGTAAAACGAGGACCCAGATTGTTGCGGGTAATATGCTGACTCCGTAAACCACTTAAGAGACGGCTGTAAAAGCACTATAAAGTGGCATATAGGTCTTAAGTAGCTATCTTCCTTCAAAGGCTGGCTTGGGAGCAGATTCCCCCCCAAACATGCCCCTCTTTATATAGGAGAGGCACAACCACAGCCACACCTCCTGATCGATCTGCACAAGCTCCATTGTGATTTTTGTCATGCCGGCAGTCCTCGACTTACGACTGCAATTCAGCCCAAAGTTGCCCCATTTTATGATCTTTTCTTGCGGCCGTTGCTTGAGTGGATCCCTGCGGCAGTTCAGTGAGTGACAACAGTTGTTAAGTGAATACATAGCAAGCTGTTCAATTAGTAACATTATTAAGTGAATCTGGCTTCCTTATTAACTTGGCTGGTCAGAAAGTCGCAACAGGGGATCCCATGACACCCCCCCCCCCCAGGGACACGGCGACCATCCTAAATGTGAGTCCGTTCCCAAATGTCTGAATTTTGATCACGTGACCACGAAGATGCCCCAGTGGTCATAAGTCCCCTTTTTTCCCAAGCTGCGGTAACTTCAAATGGTCACTTAAACGGACAGTTGTAAGTCGAGGACTACCTGCACACCCTTTGCCTTGTTCCCAATTTACTCACTCTGAAATGTCTTTTTCCTACCTCTTCTCCACCTGCCAGATCAACCCCCTCCCTTACGGCCGCGTGGTGCAGATCTATAGGCTCCCAACCTACAGCTGCTACCCGAAAGACTCCTGGGCCTCCCTGTGCAAGAAGCTGTTTGTCGGGGAGCTCATTTATCCTTGGAAGCACAAGGAGGACAAGCAAGACTGATGCGGGAGACGACCAAGAGCCGTTCAGACACCCCGGAGAACTTAGCCAGGGTTGGGATGAGCCGCTCTTGCCCGCCGTACCTTGTTCCGACTTTCCGGCGTACCAAGAGCTCGAGGGTGGTAGGACGTTCCTGCGGAGTCAATGAATTCCTCACTCGGCTGCCTCCACCAGCGGCGTTTCTGATCACCTTGCCGTTGGGACTGGGCCTCTGGAGACATCGGGAGACGGAATTGCTGGCTGTGCGCCTTTTGGGGGGCAGCCTGCGGTGATTCTGCGAGGCAAGCACACACACCCACACACCCACACACCCACACACCCCCGTGTGGTATCCAGCGCACTGTTCTGTTTGCAAAGAGCCTCCACCCTGCCCTGCGCTGACCTCTCCTTTCCTGCTGCTCCTCCTCCTTCTGTAAAGGTGTAGCCGCGGGGGCGTGTTTTTCAACCCCGGAGAGTGGGGTTGAAGACGGGTGGACTTCAACTCCCGGAACTCCCCAGCCAGCCAGGTTGAGAACAACGCTGCGTTTTGGGGAGCCGTTCTGTGCAAGGTTTGGACGTCAACGCTTGGACGAAAATAACACTTGGCGTTTGCAAATCCCCGACACGGAAACTTGCCTGTGGCAAGGTTCTAGGGCCGTGGCCCATTCGGGACAGGGCCACGCAAGGGGTGCACAGTTCCACTTGTGCAAGCAGCAGGCACACCTACCCGCTGCTTGCATAAGCGGCACCCAGCGCTTGGACATGCTCACAAACCCTCCTGCCCCTCGCATAGAACCACCCCCTCTTCCCCCCCGCCGGTCTGCCAAGCCCCCCCCCCCTCCCCCAAGGGAAGTCACAAATAACCAATTCTTTGCGTCCTCCCTGCCCACAAGACGGAATGTCTGCAGGGTTCAGAAATGGACTCTCAAAGCTTTCGGTGTCTTGCTTATCTCCTGTATTCCACTTGATTGCTTATCACTTTGCAGGGGTGGGCAACTATGGCCCTTTTATGAATTATGGACTTCAACTCCCAGAATTCCTGAGCAAGCATGGCTTGCTCAGGA